GGCAAACATGGGTATATGGGTGGATAGGCTGAACTATTACGTATGTCTATGAAATGGGGAGTATATCCAAGAACATGTATAGGGTTGACAGACAATGGTCCTATAAGTTTATGTGAATGATCAGAATTCCCATTTGTACAGTAGTGCTGACAAGGGGCAAGGTTGTGGTCACTGCCTGGTCACAGCCAGCTACCCAGAGGGACCAGGTAGTTGCACCTGTGGGCTTGGGACCATAGTCACAGGGGACATCAAGGTCAATTGGCATAAAATACTATACAAAACATTGTTCCACCTCCTACTTTGGTGAGTAGTGACTGGAATCTTAAAAGCTAGCAAGCTGCCATCTAGATGCAGTGATGGATCTCTCCTTGTCCAGAGCAAAGAAGAATGAAGAAAACCAAGATTCATGGAAACAATTAGTCCTAGCGACTGGTACACCATCTGATCTGCAGCTATACGACTATGGTGCCCGGCTACCACTGTCATCTGCTTGGAAGGGGATCTATGTCGGAGATCCTCAATAGAGAGGGAGAACAACGTGGAACACAACTCAAAATCATTTGGAGGAAAAAAAAGGGGGGCCCTGGTTTGCTGGTCCGATAGAGACTTCTGGAACCACTGAGATTGTGGCCCCTAGCTGCCCTTCAGGTCTGGACTTGAACCCACACCCATGGTTTCCAGCCAAACAGGCATATGAGTTGAACATTTACCTCAGGTAGGTGTACTCCTTGGAGAGAACAGTTATGGGAGAAAGAAGGGCTGCATAGCACAGGGAGACAGCTCAGGGGGCAGGGAGGGATGGACACTGGGATGAGGTAGCTATGGGGAGGAAGTGGGAGGGCAGCTGTTGCATTATGGTAAACTGTGGTCAATGTCATGAGACAAAGTGTATGTGAACTGCTGTATGGAAAGTGAATTTGCTCCGTAAATCTTCACCCAAATCACAATAAATAAATAAAGTTATGAGTCAACTTGGAAAAAAAAAATTCAAACAACGAATTACACTGAGCACATTTTCTACAAAACAGTGTTAAAAAGCCAGGTTGTCACTTTGAGGACTAAGGTGTTCCTGGCCCAGGGGCTACAGCATGAGTCTAACTATTAACTGATTTTCTGCAGTGCTGATATGGCCAATTGTAAATGAACACAATTTCCAAAGATAAACTATCAAGTGAGATTATAGAATTTTGGATCAAGAAAAGACCTTGGATATCATTTAGTGACCCTTTTTTATATGAGGAAACTGAAATATGGAGAGGTTAAATGATTTGCTTAACATCTTGTTGTTTGCTATTGAGTTGATTCCGACTCGTAGTGACCCTGTAAGGCAGAGTAGAACTGTCCTATAGCGTTTCTTAGGCTGTAATCGATTGGGGAATAGATCACTGGGCCTCTTGTCCCACAGAGCTACTGGTGGGTTCAAACCACCGGCTTTTCAGTTAGCAGCTAAGTGATTAATCATTGCACCGCCAGGACTTACGGTTTTAGGTTTGGTTGTAGAAAACGAACCAGAAACCAGATCTGAATCTCAATCGTAGGGGGCTTTCTTCTTTTAAAAAAAAAGTTTTTCAGTTTACTCCTGATGAAAACTAGTTCAAATAAATAATGTTCATATTTTTATGCAGCATATCAGTGCTTTCATGCCTTAAAGATTAAGAAAACTTACCTACCTCTGTGTGCTACAAGATTGTCTTCAACTTCTGTTGTACCTCGGATTACTACCCACTACACAATTTATCCCCGAGATAAGGACAAACGATGGGACGGTAAGTAAGCTGTGTAAAATTGTAACTTTTTTTAGATACTTTGTATCATTCTGTGAAGGGGAATGTTGTATTTTTCATAGTAGTTTAAAAGCATCTATTAATGTTTTATTACCTTTATCAAATCTATTACATATCAATATTTAGGTATGCAAATATGTGCTATATTTATAATAATAAACATCAAAACCAGAAGTTTGTTTAAGGAAACCGAAATAAAATATACACTAGCATAGAGCCTAAGAAAACATCAAACTAATACAGTAATATATGTAATGTAGTTATTGTGCTAAACAGACCAGTGAGTTCTATAAATAATACATAGTAGGAGGAAGGTTGGGCAAACTATTTTCATAGTGATCCCGCCTCGGAAACCCAAGGAAGGATCGCTATGAGTTGGGTCTGACTTGACGGCATATAACAACAACAACAAAGCTTAATGGGTATTTCTAAACACAGAATGTGATTTTGTCAGGTCATGGTAATCCCAGAATCTCAATTTTTTTTTTTTTTCCTCCCAGGAGTGAACATGGAGAGGTTTGCAGAGGAAGCGGATGTAGTAATAGTTGGTGGAGGCCCTGCAGGGCTCTCTACAGCTATTCGTCTAAAGCAGTTGGCTGCTGAACATGAAAAGGATATCCGTGTGTGTCTAGTGGAGAAAGCTGCACAGATAGGAGCTCATACGCTCTCAGGAGCCTGCCTTGATCCATGTGCTTTTGAAGAACTGTTCCCAGACTGGAAGGAGAAAGGGGTATGAAAATATGTTTTTCAAGTATTTATAAATTAAGTGAATGAATGAATGAATGTTATAGATAAATAGATATAAACTTCAATTTTAGTTGTCTCTGTTTCCAAATTACTGGACTATGGAAAACCCTTTTATATAATTCTGTCTCTTAAAGGATAATTATAAATTTATGTTATTTTAAGTTAAAAATACCAAACCAAACCCACTGCTATAATGTCAATTCTGACTCATAGTGATCTCCACTGGGTTTCCAAGGCTGTAAATCTTTACAGAAATAGATTGCCTCATCTTCCTCCTATGGAGTGGCTGGATTTGAACCACTAACCTTCTGGTTAACAGCCAAATGATTTAATTTAAAAGGGGGGAAATTGAGTCATATCAGATATAAATCTTAAATATAATAACGAGCTCTGACAGCAGCTGATAATCAGAATGTTGGTGGTTCAAACCCACCAGCTGCTCTCTAGGTGAAACATGAGGCAATCGGTTTCCATAAAAATTTATAGCCTTGAAGACTGTGGGGCAGTTCTACTCTCCCCTGTAGGGTCACTATGAGTTGGAATCAACTTTATACCAGTGGATTTATTTGTTTGTTTATATAATGCCTTGTACATTTGTATATATATACTAGATTTATCATAAAGTGTTACCTTGAGAAGACCTTCGAATATTTATTTCTGCAAAAAAAAAAAAGTATGTTGTTGTTGTTGTTGTTAGGTGCTGTTGAGTCATCTCTGACTCTTAGTAACCTTATGTACAACAGAACGAAACACCATCCAGTCCTGTGCCAGCCCACAATCCCTGCTATACCTGAGCCCATCATTGCAGCCACTGTGTCAATCCATCTTGTTGAGGGCCTTCCCCTTCTTCATTGACCCTCCACTTTACCAAGCATGATATCCTTCTCCAGAGAATGGTCCCGTCTGACAACATGATCAAAATACATTGGATGAAGTCTTGCTTCCAAGCACCATCCTGGCTTCACTTCCTCCAGGACAGATTTGTTAGTTCTTTTAGCAGTCCATGGTACTTTCAGTATTCTTCACCAACACCACAACTCAAAAGCATCAGCTCTTCTTCACCCTTCCTATTCATTTTCTAGCTTTCACATGCATATGAGGCAATTGAAAACACAATGGCTTGGATTAGACCTTAGTCTTCAAGGAGACATCTTTGCTTTTCAGCGCTTGAAAGAGGTCTTTTGCAGCAGATTTGCCCAATGCTATATGATGTCTGATATCTTGACTGCTGCTTCCATTGGTGTTGATTGTAGGGCCAAGTAATATGAAGTCTTTGACAACTTCTTCATCTCTGTGGATTGAGCTAAACCTCATGCACATTCCAGTATCAGTCCTGATGACAGAATGTTTTTTATTGAGTAGTTTAGGTCTGCCTATACTGGCATCAAATTTGGCTGAGAGCTTTCTGATTGCCAAGACTGCCAGTTTTCAGCAAAAAACAAAACAAAAACACAAAAATAAATTTTCTCAATTTTCTCACTCAGAATTTTAATAAGAGTAATGAGAATTGTTTTGGGCATCATGAAGGCTAGGGATATAGAGCACAGTGTGTAAACTACACAAATACGTATTTTGGTTTTTAAGCATTTTCTAAAGATAGGTTTCATCGAAGCTTCCAGACTAAAACAGACTTGGAAGATGGAAGAGGTCAAAGAACTGGCCTCTGAAAACCTTATGAATAGCTGTGAAACACTGTCTTATACAGTACTGGAAAACTTTATAAGTAGCCCTGAAACATTGTTCAATATAGTGCCAGAAGATGAGCCCCTCAGGTCAGAAGGCACTCCAGATATGACTGGGGAAGAGCTGCCTCCTCAGAATAGAGCCGACCTTAATGATATGGATAGAATAAAGCTTTTGGGACCTCCATTTGCTGATGTGTCATGTCTCAAGAAGAAAAGAAACAAAAATATAGCATTTTTATTTTGACAGTGTTTTTAAATTTGTTCTGTAGTCTTCCATTAAATTTTTGGGACAATGCAATATCTAAGACCAAATAAAACAATTTATCTTCTAAAAAACAAAGTCATCCTAGGCTCCCATAATATAAACCAAAGGGGAAAAAAAAGGATTGGCACGATACACAGAGGATGTGTATTACTCTCTGTAATTTTTATGACCGTAATTAAAATCTTACACATTTATTTCCATTATTTCTTCTATAAAAAGTTAGAATATCAGTGTCTGTGATGTATTAGGTGAAGATCAAAAAGTTACATAAATCTATATTCTTTCCATACAGAGTAAATTGAATTCCAAAAATTTCAATTATGCTCTTCTTTGTGAAATATCGAGCTCCTTTAAACTAGAAGTGCTTTAATTATTACTAACTAAACTCCTCTTTTCTATATTATATCAGAAACAGATGTCATTGAGTTATTATCAACGTAGTAATCAATTTTAGTAGAGAAAAAAGTTTTCACATCAAAACCCTTTATTGTTTTGGTGTTATTATATATTTTAACAGAGATTTTTACTATTACTGGAAATGATTACTAGCTTAATTCCTATGAGGTTATTAAAATAGATCAAGAAAAATAAATTGCTTTTTTAAGTTCATAGCATATATTTATATCTTTATAATGATTGTAAAATTTTCTGCCAGCACAGATGATCATCTTTGTGAATGCAGTAAGGAAGGAAACAGTTTTATTGTTGAATAAGCATTAAACCGGAATATAAAGCTCATCACATGCAATCTGCTAGGCAGATTGCCAGGAGATAAAGATACCTCACCCTTTTTGTTGTTGTTGAAAATACACACAGCAAAACATACACCAGTGCATCAATTTCTACATAAATAATTCAGTGACATTGATTAAATTCTTCAAGTTGTACATTCATTCTCACTCTCCTTTTCCAATTGTTCTTCCCCCTTTAACATAAAGTCACTACTCCTAAGTTTGCTATCTAATCTTTTGAGTTGTTGTTGTCAGTGTGTTCTTATGTGGATAATTCTTAAAAGAGCACAATGTGCAAGGATGACATTCTTTACTAGTTAAGCTGAACTATTGTTCAGTTTTAAGAAGACTTCAGGAGATATTCTTGGTTTAAGATGTATAGATTATCTCAGGGTAGTAGTTTCAGGGGTTCATCTAGCCTCAGTGGCTTCAGAAAGTCTGGATTCCATCATTAACTTGAAATAATGTTCTGCATTTTCCTCCTTTTGATCAGGATTTTTCTATAGAATCTTTGATCACAGCATTCAGTAATGGTAGCCGGACACCATCCAGTTCTTCTGTCTCATGGTAGAGGAGGCATTTGTTCATGAAGGCAATTAACCATGCATTCTATTTCCCCTTCCTATTCCTTATTCTCTTTTCCTCTGTTGCTCCAGGCAAATAGAGACCAGTTGTTGTGCCTTGGATGGCTGCTTGCAAGCTTTGAAGACCCTAGGCACTATGCAGCAAACTAGGAGGTAGAACCGAAGGACTTAAAGTGGTATTAGACCAATTAACTAGGATGTCCCATGAAACCATGACCCTAAACTTCTAAACGAAGAAACCAAATCCCATGATGTATTTGGTTGCATTTGAACAGCTTCATCAGCTGCTCTTTTCATTGCTGTTATAACAATATATATCACACAACATTTGCCAGTTCAACTTTATACAGATGTACAACTGACCGGTATTAGTTACATTAATCAGCTATCCAACCCTTACCCTTAATCAGTGCAATTTTTCCATCCTGTAAAGTGAAATGCAGTGCTCCATAACTAGTAACACCCTCTTTCTGCCTCCCTCCCACCCTTTGTTGTTGTTGTTGTTATGTGCTGTCTAGTCAAACCCGACTCATAGTGACCCCTCCTTGGGTTTCCAAGGCAGTGTCACTACGGAAGTAGGATTGCCCAACCTTCCTTCCGAGGAGTGGCTGGTGGGTTTGAACTGCCAGCCGTCTGGTTAGCAGGCAAGTGTCTTAGCCACTATGCTACCAGAGCTCCCCCCTCCCACCCTTAGTAACCACTAATAAACTTTGGTCTCTATATTCGCTTGTTTTTGTCTTTTTATATAAGTGAAGTTATAATATTTGTCCTTTTATAATTTACTTACTCACTCAGCTTAATGCCCTCACACTGCATCCATGCTGTAGCATGTATCAAGATTTCATTTATTTTTCTAAGTAGTATTCCATTGTATGTATCAAAAATTAAATAAATATCATATAAAGATCAAAAATATTAACTGTATTCTTTCCATATGGAGTAAATGAAATTATAAAAAGTTCAGTTATATCTTTTTTCTAAAGTATCAAGCTCCAAGAAATCAAATACCACATTTTGTTTATCTGTTCATCCAGTGATGAGCATTTAGGTTGTTTCCACCTTTGGCTATTTTGAGTAATGTTGCATTAAACATGTCTGTACATATGTCTGTTCATGGCTTTGCTTTCAAGTTGTCTGGGTATATTTCTAGTGAAGGAACTGCTGGGTCATATGGTAGTTCTGGTTTTTTTGTTTTTTGGGGAATGATACTTCATCCTTTTATATAGCTAAGTAATAGAATGTTATGTACCTTTAAATTGTCTTTATCCAAAGGAAAAATAAAGCTTCTCAATCTTTTCCACAACGAGGAAGCTACAACTTGAAAACAAGTACCTAGGCTAAACTCTCAACAGTGACAGAGACACAGAGCATCATCCTCTTTGAAGTTCATGTTCAAAAAGAGACTTCAGACCCTTCAAGATACACATTCCTGGGATGCAAAACTGAGAAGAGGCTTATTTAGGTTTTTACCAAACCTCTCAAAGAGACAGGGAAAGGATCTAAGTATTTTCTAAGGGAAATACGTCAGCAGGAAAGAGTTCTTTCTCTTTTGACAACAAGGAAAATTTATTTTTATTTATTTATGTATTTTTTTGGATTTGTATTTACCCTTATAAATATAAACTAAAATAAAAACTTTTTTATCATTCCTTCTTTTGTTTCTAGGCACCCCTTAAAACTCCTGTAACACAAGATTCTTTTGGAATTTTAACAGAGAAATATAGAATTCCTGTACCAATTCTCCCAGGTAAGGCAATATAAATAATCATAGGATCATAGACTTCTACAGATAGAAGGAACTACATTTCATCTGGTCAAATCCCCTCCTTTTGCAGATGAGAAAATTGAGGCCCAGAGATTTGAAGGATTTACCCAAAGTTATACAACTAGCTGGTGGGAAAGTAGGACTAGAACCCACTTCTTTTGTCTTCCAGTCCAGAAGACTTGAAATATAGCCTTGAAAGCCAATCAGGAATTTTTATTTTAGTGCTATAAATATTTATAATTTAGTAAACTAGAACTCTACACCAAAATTAGAGAAAATAAGTTGAACTGATGACCATTAGAATTTTTTAATTAACTATTTATGTTTTTGAAATATAATCAATTAAAAGTCACATTAATAAAGCATGTATTTGTAGGTCTTCCAATGAATAATCATGGCAATTACATTGTACGCTTGGGACATTTAGTGAGCTGGATGGGACAACAAGCAGAAGCCCTTGGTGTTGAAGTGTACCCTGGTTATGCTGCTGCTGAGGTTTGTATAGTTTTTTGTTTTTTGTGATTTAGGTGAAAGTTTACAGAGCAAATTCATTTCCCATACAACAGTTCATACACATTTTGTTTCCTAACGTTGATTGCAATCCCTATAATGTAACAACTCTCTTCCCACTTTCTCCCTGTGATAGATTATCTTTTCCCTTTGTCCTTTCCCCATGTATTCCTACCTTTTGAGCTATCTCCTTGTGCAAATACTGCCCTTCTGATCTCCCATGGTTTATTGTTTTAAGGAAGTTACCTACCTGGTATAAGTTTTATCTTATTCGCCTGTCTGTCGTTTGGCTGGAAGCCATAGAAGGAAGTTCAGTTCAGGCCTGAAGGGTGACTAGGGGCCATAGTCTCAGGGGTTTCACCAGTCTCTATCAGACCAGTAAGCCTGGTCTTTTTTATGATTTTGAGTTTTGTACCACATTTTTCTCCCACTCTATCCAGGATCTCCTATTTTGATCCCTTTCCATGTGATTGACAGTAGTAGCCAGGCACTATCTATTTTTTCTGGTCTCAGAGTCATGTAGGCTGAGTTTCCCATGGTCTACTAGTCCCTTGGACTAATTGTTTCCATAGGTCTTTGGTTGTCTTCATTCTTCTGTGCTCTGGATGAAGAGATACCATTTGTTGTATCTTAAAGGGCTGCTTGCTAGCTTTAAGAGCCCAGTCACTACTCACCAAAGTAGAATGTAGAATGTTTTTTGTGTGGTATGTGATGCCAGTTGAGCTTGATGTCCCCTTCGACCATGGTTCTGAGCCAATGGGCCCAGTGACTCACTCCCTTAGGGTGTTTGGCTGTGGCTAAGAAGTTATCATAACTTTGCCCCTGTTAGCTCTTTTGTATATATGGACATTCTTGTAGCACATGCAGGTACTTTGTAGAAATATCGTCTATCAGGTATAGTTCAAAATATACACACATACACACACGTATATGGGAAGTGATCTCTTTTTTATTTGAAAATAAGTTGGTAATTATACAGTACTGATCTTTCATTTTATCATACTGTGGTGGGTTATGTGTTTCTGTGATGCTAGAAGCTATACCACCAGTATTTCAAATGCCAGCAGGGTCACCTATGGTGGACAGGTTTCAGTGGAGCTTCCACACTGAGACAGATGAGGAAATGACCTGTTTATCTACTCCTAAAGGAAATTGGCCAGTTTAAAACTTACGAGTAATAATTGAACATTGTTTGATATAATGCTGGAAAATGAGCCCCTCACTTGGAAGCCACTCAAAATACAACTAGGGAAGAGCTGCCTCCTCAATGGAGAGTTGAGCTTAATGACAAGATAGAGGAAAAGTTTTGAGACCTTCATTTGCTGTTGTGGCCTGACTCCAAATGAGAAGAAACAGTAGCAAACATTAGTAATTGGAAAGTAGAATGTAAAAAGTATGAATTTAGGAAAATTGGAATTTGTCAGAAATGAAGATCTATATCCTATGCATGAGTCATTTTGAATTAAGACAGTCATATGGTCTGTTAAGCCGGAATGACAAATTGAAGAGGAAAGGCATCACATTCATTAGAAAAAAAGGAAAATTTCAAAATACACCCTGAAGTACAATGCTATCAATAATAGGATAACATCCATACATATACATGGAAGACCAGTTTATATGACTATTGTTCACATTTACACTACAACTAATGTGAAAGATGATGAAAATAGAAAATTTTAACTAACTTCTGCATTCTGAAATTGATCAAATATGCAATCAAGATGCATTAATAATTAATGCTAATTGGAATGTAAAAGTTGGAAACAAAGAAGAATCATCCAGAGTTGGAAAATATGGCCTTGGTAATAGAAACAACACTGCAGATTGCATGATAGAATTTTGCAAAATCAGCGACTTATTCATTGGAAATACCTTTTTTCAACAACATAAACACCTACTATACATGTGGGCCTCACAGAATGGAATATACATGAATCACATCAACTACATCTGTGGAAAGAGACAAGGTAGACATTCAGTATCATCAGTCAGAACAAAGCCAGGGCCAGCTGTGGAACAAAACATCAATTGCTCCTATGCAAGTTCGAGCTGAAGCTGAAGAAAATTAAAATGACATCAAGAGCCAAAGTGCAACCTTGAATGTATCCCACCTGAATTTAGAGACCATCTCAAAAATATATTTGATGCATTGAACACTAATGTCCATGAACACTAATGACAAAAGACCAGACAAGTTGTGGGATGACATCAAGGACATCATACATGAAGAAAACAAGCAGTCATTAAAAAGACAGGAAAGAAAAAAAGGACCATAATGGATGTCAGAAGAGACTCTGAAACTTCCTCTTGAATGGAGTAGCTAAAGCAAACAAAAGAAATGAAGTAAAAGAGTTGAACAGCAGATTTCAAAAGGCAGCTCAAGAATACAAAGTAGTCTTATAAAGAAACATGCAAAGACCTGGAGTTAGAAAACCAAAAGGAAAAACATTCTTGGTATTTCTCAAGCTAAAGAAAATATTGAAGCTTCATGTTACAATATTGAATGACTGTATGGGCAAGATATTGAATGATGCAAAGGCATCTAAAGAAGATGGAAGGAACACATAGTCACTATCCCAGAAAGAATTGGTTGACATTGGGCCATTTCAAGAGGCAGCATATTATCAAGAATTGATGGTGTTGAAAAAAAGTCTAAGCTGAAGGCATTGGCAAAAAACAAGGCTCCAGGACTAACTGTTCAAGATCAAAGTCTTCAGTATGAATTACACCTAAACATAAAGAAAATAGAAATCCTCACAACTGGACCAGTAAGCAAAGCAAAATCAAGATAAACATAGAAAATACTGAAATCATCAAAAATGTCTATCTTTTTATTATCATTATTATTATTATGACTACTACTACTTATTGTGCTTTAGGTGAAAATTTACAGAGCAGAATTTGTTTTACATTCAACATTTCGTGTACATTTGGTTTCACTTCCCAGTTACCATCCCCAGCCCTAACCCACTTTCCTCGCCTCCCTTCCCAGTAACCCCCACCCTGTGTCCCTCATAGTTATGCACTCCTGTGTGTCCTGCATTCCCTTTGTGTGGATGTTGCCCCTCTGGTGCTCCATGGTTGATTGCTCCAAGGGATGCATCTCCATAGAGTATGTCCATAGATTGAGTGGTTTGTGTGTATGTCTTGTTTACCATTGAACTGAGAGTCAGCCCTTGGGAGTGAGTTTTATTCCAGGGCCAAAGCATAGTGTCTAAGGCACTTGACTGCTAACCAGAAGGCCGGTGGTTGGGTTAAACCCACCAGCCACTCCTCAGAAGGAAGGTTGGGCAATCTACTTCCGTAGTGATACTGCTTCGGAAACCCAAGGAGGGGTCGCTATGAGTCAGGGCCTACTCAATAGCACATAACAACAACAACAACAAAGTGTATCCCAGGGCCATAGTATTGGGGGTCCCACCAGACTCCATCCAATCAGTAATTCTGGTCATTATTGTTTTTGGATTTTGTTCCACGTTTTTCCTCCCACCCTATCCAGGATCTCTAGTTTTGATCCTTTCACAAGTGGTTGGCATTGGTAGCTGGGCACTGTCTAGTTCTTCTGGTCTCGAGGTCCATCATGTCTTAGGGCTGATTGCTTCCCTTGGTTTTTTGTACTCTACTTCGCTTCCAACAATAGGAGACTGTGAGCTGCAGCTTACATGGCTGATTGAAACCTTTTAAGACCCTAGTCACTACTTACCAATGTAGGTCATGGAGCAAGACTTGTATGTATTTTGTTGTGCCAGTTGAGTCTGGTGTCCCTCATTAGTATGGTCCTAGGTTGGTAGATCCATTGGCACTCTCTCCCACAGTGTCTGTCTGTGAGGGATTGCTCTATGTCTGTCCTCTGTTGTTTCTGTAAGGATTGTGGATATTTTGTATCACTGGTATCTGTGCAAGATTAGCCTCAGCTGAAACTATCCTTGGTCTAGAGTATAATCCTGTTCACTGACCCCCATCTGATCCTCTCAGATGTTTATGTGTTTATCTGTAGCCTCGTGTTTGGTATTAATGGTAATGCAGTATTGTGGATATACTGGTATTAGCCTCTGTCGTCTATATCTTATGTGCACAATTCGGTGTCCTCCTTTCTTTCTTATCATGGTAGTCACAGACTCTTTCCATACCATCCCTCCCCTTGCCCACATCAGCATGTGGCCCCCAGCTAGCCTGAAATTATTCCCTCCCCACCCCGGTAATCTACAAAGTGAGCTCCCTTTTGCAAGCAAACCCTTCTTTGTCTTTTTACAGTAATGGGTTCATACAGTACTTGTCCTTCTGTGATTGACTTACTTCACTCAGCATAATGTCCTCCAGGCTCATGCACATTGTGAGATGATTCACATATCCCTCATTGTTCTTTAATGTAGCATGTACCATAATTTGGTTATCCACTCATCTGCTGATGGACATAAATTTAGGTTGTTTCCATCTCTTTGTTATAGTGAATTGTGCTGCAATGAACATAGGTGTACATGTCCATTCATGCATGGTCTTTCACCTCTTTGGGTTATATTCCTAATAATGGAATTGCTGGGTCAAATGTTATTTCTATTTTAGTTTTTTAAGGAAATGCCATACCATTTGCTACAATGGTTGTACCATTTTACAATCCCACCAGCAATGTATAAGAGTTCTAATCTCTCCACAGCCTTGCCAGCATTTATTACTTCTGTCCTGTTGAACATTGCTATTATTGCTGGGATGAGATGATATCTCGTCATTATTTTGATTTGAATGTGTCTAATGACTAAAGATCGTGAGCAATTCCTCATGTGTTTGTTGGCCACCAGCATATCGTCTTTAGTGAAATGTCTGTTCATGTCTCTTTTCCGTTTTTGAATTGGATTGTTTGTCTTTTTGGTGTCGAGGTGTTGAAGTTTTCTATAGATTTTGGAGATAAGTCCTTTGTCAGATATGTCATAGACAAATATTTTCTCCCAATCTGTAGTTTTTCTTTTTACCCTTTGAGAAAGTCT